TAAAATCTGGCATGGAAATAGCCATAACTATGAAGTGCCTTAGTTTTGGCTTTGATTTGACTGAGTTGTGAGCCTCAGAAAACAATGTTCTCAGCATGCACTCCAGGGTGTTGTTTCTTCCTTCAAAGCTGCTGAAATGTGCAGCAGAGAGGATTTACTGTGAGCAACTGAGGAGCTGTGCAGCACAAAATTAGAGAAAGATATTGCTCTGAAGCTGCAGGGTCACGTGGGCTTGGAACAGGAACATGAGACCTCTCCATGCACTTAGGGTGTACAAAAAGTTTCTGGGTGCTTTGTGGTCTGTGAAACTGAAAGCTGAGTTCTAGGACCTGCAGCTGTGCTCCTGCAGGTCATTTCCAAGGAGCCCAGAGAGTGAGAAGGGACAAGGCTAAGGGCAGGCTGAGGCACACAGGCACTGCTTGCACCCCTCTGAGGCAGAGGCTCAGGGATACAGTGCACTGCTGCTCCTCCCCAGCACACAGCAGGGCTGCACTTGCCCAACCATGTGCCCCTGGCTTCACACTGCTTTGAAGGCTTTCCCAATGGGAGTGCAGGGACTGGCTGTTCCTGAAGGAGATAGGCCCCCCAGATCTGAGATTGTGTCTCTTTGGACAGCACAGCCTGTGAAACAGTGCATGCCTATCTAATTGCAATCACATGTGAAATCAGAGGGTCAGGGATGGCTGGATGTGCTTCCTTAACTGCATCATTTTTTGACTTAGCATAGTTAATTATGCAGCCTTATGAAACATTAATTTAGTTTTACGTATGGGAGCTCTGATGCATTTCCTCTGGCATTTTACAATGAAGCTGGTTAATATTTGCAATTACTTGAAGGCTTCTGTTTAGTTCTGGTGTCCATGAAGATTATGATGGACTTGTGTGTCTGGTTCTTTACTGAGCTGCAACTGCATTGTCACATCTTTCACTGTGAAGGGGGAGCAGTGCTTTCCCTTTTGCACAGGGGTGAGGCTTGCAAAGGTTGCAGACAATCAGTGTGTAATGTAGCATTTTGTTCACTTTGATTAGTTAGTAGTTCATAATTGAAATTCAATGTTTGATTCTAACAAATTTTCTGACTGGCTGATGTGTAGTGATAGTGCATCTCAGTCATTTAAAGAATATATATAACCAAGTTTATTAATCCCAGCTGAGGCAGGAGGAAGACCTGGCTCACCTCTGCTCCCTTCTACATCAGCTTGCAGCACATGCAGAGCATTGCCTGTGCTGATGGAAATGTGAGATATGTGCCTGTGGGGTGCTTTATGCCATAAAGGACCTTCAGGAGATTGCAGTGCACTGAATATTAAGTAGCTCTAAGGCAGCCCATGACAAACTGACCGTGTAATGGAGTGGGAAGCTGCAACTTGGGTGTGCACAATGTAAAGGAACACTCCCAGGTGAAGCTCCTGTAGTGTCTGTGGTGGAGAGCTCTCTGCTGCCAAGCTACATGTCAGAGTGGGCTGTCAAAGAAACACAATATAAAACTGATTTGTGTTTGGATCTCCACAGTGTCTGAATTATCTAGCTTCTGTGGTTCACCTGCATATGATTTTTTTCTAGTTTCAATCTCCAGAACTGTAGGCCACAGCACCTGTTAGTTATCAAATTGAGAGCATGTGCCATAAATAGGAAGCAAGAACTAAGAACTAAATATGGTTTAAAGAAACCAGATGAATAACAATTAATGAGATAGTCTTAATAGAAACAGTATTTATTTTCTTTTGTAGGCACTCACTTCAAAGGCATCATCTATTGCATGAGTGTCACTTTGGACAGGCTTTTTCTATAGGATGGATTCTTGTATCTCCTATGGAATGAACAGAATGTCTCATGGAATTTTCTTTTTCAATTAACAGTTAGGTAATGCCCTTAAGGTGGCATTGCTTTGGAGAAAAAGGTAATACTACAAAGATGTTGACTACAAAGGCATGGTTACTAGGAGGTGTCTTGCATAACCAACACACAACCAGTTCTGGCTCCTGGCCTACTCAAGCACCAAGGAGTGGAAATGGCTTGGGCTGGCACTGCCATTGAAAGGACCTTCTTGAAACTATGGCTTAACTTAAAAAAGAGACAGTGGTGTGGTTTTTCCCCATCTCCCAGGGAACATCCTTGCCCAGTGCAGGTGAGCTGCATGCACACCTCAGATAATGGCTTTGTCCTTTTAGGCTGTGTGATTTCTTTCTCTCCTGGAGAAGCTATCAGGGATCATTCTTACACCACCTTGTTGCTTTCTCCTTTTCCTTTGCTCTCACAAATATTTTCTATATTTGGATGTCTGACTCCTGTTTCCTCCTCTCCTCCTGTCAGGCCCTGAGCAGGGGCAGTCAGAGCTGCTCTTTATTTCCAGCTGCTTTATAGATCATGTGCTTTGTCTTCCCATGCAGGCGTCTGTGTGCCAGCTGTAGCAACAGCTGAAACCCAGGGAAAATCATCACTCTGCCACTACCTTATTTCTCTGTGCACAGTTGGCCAGTCCTTGCTGGGCTGTAAGTGGTCAATGATCTGCAGTCTGAGAGCTTTCCAGACCTCAAAGTATTTTCTTATATAACATTTCACTGTGAGAAGTGCAAAATTGCATTCACAAGTGGATTTGTGCTTCTCTCTGGTTGTGAGTGGGAGGGAATGAGTGCTCAGATGTATTAGAGGAACAATTCTGCTTTGGTAAGAAGGGCAGGCACAGGGCTAGATTATGGCAGGAATGTAGTTATTGCATGTGAACATGATTTGGAAAGAACCAAATGTTTAACATGGTGTTGACCGCACGGTTCATTGGTGTAGATCAGTTTTGTGATTAAAGTCTGCTAAAAGAGCAAACAAGCAGTTCTACTGAACTGAGTTGTAGACTCTTCTTCCTCATTTTCAGGCTTCTTTCTCTCCTTAAAGTCTTTACAGAACATCTTTTAGATTAATCAGAGCCTGGTTGGTCTTCCTGTGCATGTTCTCCTGTGCATTCAGACTCAGTCTCAAATAAGTGGTTGTACACTATATAATGGACTTGAAATGTAACTAAGTGTTACATATGCTTTTTCTCTTTTCCACTATTAAAGAATCAGGTTTTGCACATATAAGGCAGATTTTTAGGGGCCTTGAAATATCCTTTCCTGAGGCAGACAGTTATCAATAGAATGTCTGATTACTGCCCTTTCTGTAACCTTTCACTGTGACATGACTGGACTCAATGGTCTTAGACATCATTTCCAATCTAAACAATTCAATGGTTCTAAAGCCTGGGCACTGTATCTCCCTAAAAATAATCTGTGAAGAAAATCTAACTCTGTTCACAACTAATGGCAAATCCTATGAATAAAAATGGTAGCTTTCTGCTGCTTGCTAAACTGTATGAGGTCACCTGCTGCTCCTTCCTGATGGAGGTTCTCTCTGTCACTTGTCAGTGGCCAAGAGGATTCAGGAACATCACTTCTGAGAGGGCTTTGCTCTGCCTTGAATGGAAAGTCCTGAGCTTGTCTCTTCTATATCTATAATGAAACATGTGATTTAAGAGAAGCTCAATTGAATCAAATATAGGAGCTCCTTCCCACTGTATTAACTCACTGCCATTTTCTTTTAGTAAAAAAACAGAGTAAGTGCCATTGCTCTGTGACTGCCATCCAAAGTGATGGTAGTGCATGTACTGTGGCACCAGGACATAATCTCACAAAAAAAGCTTTTATTTCAGAGTAATTTTTTGGCTCTGGTGTTGCATTTCTTGTGGCTGGATATGCATTTGCATATGCTGGTATGTTGGTCCTGTTCAATGGCAATTTGCTCTGCAGGTACTCACACACCTGCTGGGCTGGCCACGAGGGATTCAAGGCACACTCCACTTTCTGCACATTAAAATTACGATGTGGAAGAGTGGTTTGCAAAATCTAAAGCATTCAGAATGCTCTTTGCAGTTTTACAGGAGAAACCACAGGACTCTGGGAAATCTACACTTCAATTATTCGGTGCAGTACACTTGAGTCAGGTTATTGATGTCTGTTTATTGCCGACCACTTCACGATCACACATGTAAACTAAAAGCACAGCCTGGCAAGTGACCAGATCAGGGCACCTGTGACCACACAGCTCAGTCTTGGTTTCATAGCTGAAAATAATATTCCTGGCTTTCGTTTGGTTTCTCATGTTAAGAGGTAGAAGTGCTGACAGCCCCCGAGCCTGCGATGCTCCTCAGGTGCTAACACTGGAGGAAATAAAACCAGGAACATGGCGGAGGTTAGTGAGGGGCTTTGGGAGGTCTGAGCTCTGTTTCAATTCTTAGCACTTTCGTTGCCTTGCACGGGAATTTGTGCACTTGAATCATCCTTACTTAAGTCCCAAAAGGCAGGTAATTAAAGACAGATCAGGAGGCAACGAAGTTAGTGGGGTTTTAGGGTGTCCTGAGATCGTCGTATCAGCATGCAGGTGCCTACAGCTAGAACATCCACAGAGGGGCTCATGGGGGCTTTTTTTGTGAGCGATGTAGAATAAAAGTGAGGGCAGTGTCAGCGACTACCGGGCAGGGCTTACTAAAACCCTTAATTTCCTTACTTCCCAAGGGGCAGAAGTAAGTTTTTAAAGTTAAGCACAGCTTAAAATTCCTTCCTTACGGCAGCCCGGATACCTGACCCGCGGTCGCCCCCACTCCCCTGCGCCCTGCCGGGGCACGGCAGAGGAGAGAGGGCAGGGAAGGAGGGGAAGGGAAGGGAAGGGAGATGAGGAGGAGGCGCTTCCCCGGGAGCCGGGCCGGGCGCGGAGCGGGGGCTGCCGGGGCAGCGCAGGCACGGCCGGGCCGGGCCGGGCGCTCCGCCGGGGCCATCAACAGGAAACCCTGCGCGGGCCGGGCCGAGGCGGCGCCAGGCGTGGCCGCCTCCCCCTGTCTGTCTGTCCGTCCGTCCGTCCCTCCCCCGGCCCGTCCCTCCCGCGCAGCCCAGGGGCCGCTCGGCTCCGCTCGGCCCAGCCCGCGGCGGGCGAAGCGCGGCGCGTCCGACCCGGCGCCCGGCAAGGCACCGAGGATGAAACTGCTGTGGAGAGCGAAAATGGTAACCGGCTGTCCCCTCCTGTCCCGTCCCCTGCCCTGCCCTGTCCTGGGTCCCGCTGCCCGGCGATGCTCAGTGCCAGCCGTGCCGTGCCCGCTCCCCGCGATGCTGCGCCCGGTGCCGTGTCCGATGCCGGCCATGCCGTGCCCGGCGATGCCGTGCCTGGTACCGGGATATGCTGTGCCCCCTTCCCCCGCTTTCCCCCGGCTCTAAAGCTGCTTGGTTTGTTTTTGTTTTTTTTTTTTTTCCTTGTTCTTGAAATAATAAGGTTTTTGGAAGAGCAAATCACAAGTCCCTCCTTCTCAAGAGAGTGAAAATGTCGCTGTGTTTTAAATGCTCAGTAGCTTCAAAGATTCAAGGCTGTGTGACGAAGTAATTCAGCAGTTTTAAAAGTGCGAATCCTTCCCTAAATGAAAGGCCAAAGAGCCTAATTGCTGTAGAAAAGAGGGAACGAAAGAGACGACTGCTAATCAAAACCAAACTCTTTCCTTAGAAGACTTTATGCAACTATTTAAAATATGTGCTAGTCTGGGAAAAACAGTTAAATGGAAAGTCCGGGTACCTCGATACCACAGGAAAGGACAGCTTGCCAAGAATATCTCCAGTGTTCCCTCAACCTAAGGGTATCCTGGATTGCTTTGATTGCTGTGTTTGCTTTGTGCTGCCCATCTCCTCTGCTCTGCCTGGAGCGGCAGAGCACCTGGGACTGATTGTGGTCTGCAAAAGAGGGAGAACGTTCCTTTTCATCTTATTTTTCTTTCTCCTTTTCCTGGCAGACCACATTTCAGGATGGGGGTGAAGAGGTAGAAGACGGAGCTGTCTACAATGTCACCCTTAAAAAAGTGCAGATTCAGCAGGCTGCCAACAAAGGAGCAAGGTGGCTGGGGGTAAGTGAGGCTAGCACGGAGGCGGCGGGCAGGACTGCTCATGGACTTCGGAGCCGTGCAGGGAGCTGAATTCCACAGGAATTGTTACAATATTAACTTCGAGCATTGGCCACTCTCATTATTTTTTTTTTAAAAAGAACAAACCAAACACTGGACTAGTCTGCCTGGGTCATCTGAAATAACACTCTCCTTGTGTTGACTCTTCCTCTTTTCTTGACCTGTAAAAACAATTTGACCAGCTGTGGCCCTGTATCAGGTGATTCTTGGTGCAGAAACAAGGATCTTAGTTTATGGTCCAAGAAGCTGAATGTTTAACAGTTGTTGCAGACTGGACTATGGCTTATTTCTGCTGTTAAGAACCTATCTCAGGTCTCCAAACAAGTAGTTATGTTATTTTGACTGGTGAAGGTCCCTCAAAGTCAGCAAAACTTCCTCTGACCTTAAGGGAACATTGGTTTGGGTCTTATTTCTGTATTGCTTTCTTGGCCAGATGAGAAATTAATTGCATTTCTGTAAGAATTACAGCTCTGTACTGTTTTTCAAAGCATGAAGGCTTTAATGGTAAGTAAAATGAGCTTAAATGCACACAGTTGATTTGACATGCTGCTGAGTGCCTTCACCTTTATCAGGCCAAGTCCCCAGCTGATAAAAAATGTCCTCACTTCATTGGAATCAGTGCAGCTGTGGCAGCTGGGGCCAGGTCTGCAGGAGATGCCTGTAACTTTCATATGTATTTTGTTATGTTTATTTTTTTTCCTTTGGGATCAAAGGCAGTAATGTAAGAAGTTGGCTTGATGTAGTATCCATGTTGATATTTTCAAGGCTTTTACAACTGCCCTGAGATTTATATCCAGTCATTTGCTTGTGAAGCCTCTGTGACATGAAGCAATGCAGCAGAGATGAAACCAGCGTCAGGAGAAATAAGCGAATTCCGTCCTGCATACAGACAGTGCTTAGAGTCTCCCCTTCCCGTGTTTCCAAGAAGTACACAGAGTACTCATCAGAACAGATAATTTCAAATCTGCTTCCTTTGAGTGGCAGATTTCCCATTTCTGCCTGCTGTTTTTACCAGGAAAATACTATCAAGTATATTTGAGCTCCTGCAACTTTCCCAGCTGATTTTGTGGAAGAGGTGAAGATCATTTTGAGTGTGTCTGTGTCCCATAAACATAGTTTAGAAAAGTCTGTTTTTTGAATACAAAAAAATTCTGAATTTTTTTTTTGCCTGCTTGGGCTGTGTTGTTCCTTGTAATAGAAGGAGTTTGCCAGGCCTTGGTCCTGTTCTCAGAGGAGGGGAGCTTGTATGTTCCTGTGGTCATATCCCCCCAGCTGATGCTGCCCGTCCCAATAGCAGGACCATAGACTGCAAGGTCAGGGCAGTGACTGTCAGGATCCTGTGCCTGTTGTTGGTTTTTTGAGGTCAGAATGTTTGTGGGGAAGGAGATAATGTGTCAGAAATCCACACCTGTTCTGGGCATAAATCTGTAACTTCAGCTTCCAGTCTAGTCTCTTTCATGAGCAAAAACCCCCAAATCTTATGTATATTACTTAAAAATATTTTGGAACATATGGGCTGTTTGTTTCCCTTAAGCTCTTCAGAACATTAAGTATTTTAAGCTCTTCTTGTGATCTTGTTTTATTAATGGCTTTTTTTGTGGTCCTGAAATCAATAAATAGCCTCTAACCCAGAGCATTATTTATGAAGAGCCGTCCCTGCCCCCAGCAGTTTGACTTTGAAGAGCCAAATTGTCTCTTTTAGAGCTGTCATCAGGTGACTTTGTTATTTTTTTTTTTTAATCTGGAGTTTATAAGGGTTTATGATTTTTTTTCTATGCTTTGGAACTCATTAGCACTAAATTAACAAGGTGTTGGATTTAACAATTGATTTTATTTTTTTGATGGTACTCGAAGTCAGGCTTAGATTGAAGACTCAAGGTCAACAACCTATTTGTACATCAGCAAGTATTGAGCCTTCACAGTAACAAACATAGTAACTCACTTATTGATCATATGCATGCCTGGATTTACTTTTTTAAAAACTTTTTCTCAGTGTCAGTTTGTGTCCTGTAAAAGTCCACTTAGCAGTATGACCCCTTCTGAAGCACTGAGCTTCTTGTGGCAGGTCAAGTCTAATAAACCTTCCTTAAGATTCTCCATCCTAAGAACCCATCCAGGGTCACTGAGTGGTTGGCCCTGTAATGAGAGAATGGATTGTTTAAAGGCCAATCATAAGATTCCAACTACAGCACCATAAACACTTGCCTACTGAAATACAGAAATGCCTTTCTTGTGTTTCAAACTTCTACAACTAACAAAAGAAAAAGAGAAACAGGCTGTGACTTAAGCAGGCATCAGCAGTTCTGAAACTTTCAGTAGTATGAAGCTGTGGGATAATCACTGAATTTTTTAGATTTAAATTTAATATTAAACATCAAAGGATGCCAATAACAGCCACTGTTTTGTCACCACATACTTAGTCACTAAATATTTAGTGAAGCTTAAGACTTTAAGCACTAGAGTATTAGGGAATATTAAAAGCTCTAGTGGGAGCTCAGTATTGTGAGATGCTGCACAAAAGCACTGTTTTGGCTTAAAAGAATGTGCAGACGTGATATTAAAAGAGGATTGTCTGTACATACATCTTAGCTGATGATTGGTATCAAAGCTTCAAAAGCCAAGTGTGCTTTCTAGAAATATTGAGAGAGAATCCCTCCCAAACACAATAGATTCAACCAGAGAAAGCATGAATGCACTTTTCTTGAAAATAAAGTGAGTTTTGGTGTCTCCAGGATAGATTTTGAGAGGTCTCCAGGATCCTGGAGAGAGGAACAATCTACAAAAGCCGTGGAAGCTGAGGTACATGGCCTGACATCTTTGTGAGAGAAAAGGATGGAGAAGTAGAGATTTGTACATACAGATGGCACACACAGAAGAGGGGAACAGGAGGATGTGGGGTGGACAGTCATCAGTTTGAATGGCATTATGTCAGGCTAGAGAAAAAGGCATATTGGTAACTGGAAGGGAAGGTTTGGGAGCACAGCAAGGAATTTCAATGATGTTGTTAGAGAATATTGTGTTGTGAAACTTTATTTTCAGAAAGAACCTGAAAAATGGGATTCAGCTTCCTTCTGAGGATGTGACTGCAGCCCGCAGGGAGGCTGGATGTCAAAGAGGATGATGCTATTGTCCGTGGAGAAAAGGCACCAAAGCAAAAGAGACAGAAGTTTGGGGGGGCTTTGGTCTTGAACTGACAGCCAGGTACCCGTGCAGTGACAGAGACGAGCTGAGTCATTCCATAGTAGGAAGGGACAGCCAGACTGTGGATGTACGAGTAGATCAGCCGCTAAATACCGGAATTTCTGTGGCCAGGAGCAATGTGCTGACAGTGCCAGGGGAGGTGAACTCCGGCCGGTGACCTACGGGAGACAGTGAACAGCTGGAGAGAAGGGAAACAGCAGCGGGTGGAGAAGTTCGTGGGGAGATGGGGGGACAGTGGTGCAGGAAGAATAGGGCACGGGTGTGGTGTGGACGGCTGGACAAAATTACTAAAACAAGCAAAGAGGTTTTGAAATGCTGTGAAGTGGCTATTGTCGAGCCCCCTGCTAAGCAGCTGGAGTGCTTTATCTGCCCTTGCAGGAGTTAGGGAGGGATGGGCCACTGCTGTCCAGCCCTGGGAGGGGAGGGAATGCTGAGGAACGAGGGGCTCCTGAATACCTGCAAATGTCTTTCCTATCAGAGTCCTTCATCTGGGAAGGAGTGAGGAAGGGACCTACAATGTGTGAGTACCTAGTGGGGCAGGTCACAGGAAATGCAGCTGGGAACTGGAGTTCCCCAAGCCTCAGCGCTGATTCTCCACACCTGAAATGATTGCTGAGCTTTCAGAGTCCATCCTCGCCATCAAGGTTCTTGCTTTACTGATGGATGACAAGGACTCCTCTTCCTTTGAGTCTTAAATATCCAGATAACAGATAAATAGTCTGCTCACTTATGGCCAGGCTGCTTGGCTTCATTAGGCATGGATTACACATCTAGAGGAGATTTTAGAAACTTCGTTTTTACTTTTTGCTTTCTCTTTTTGGCTACAGCTGAACTTATGGCTCTGGGGTTTGTTCAGGCAGAGATGGAGGCAAAACATAGCTTGTCTTAAAGTGTCTTTAATATTGTAATGCTGGGTGTATAGCAGAACGTGTTCTTCCAAAATTGTCATTGAACTGCTGTTAGAAGGGTGCTTTTCAGTACCTTAAAATGCTGAAAGAGGGAAAAGCTGAAAAGTAGCAAATCTATCACTTAATATTTGTGTGCATTCTTAGCACTACTATTATTTGATAATTACCTTTTCTGGGAATTTTGTGGTGTTTTAGAAAGAAATTTTTAATTTTTAAAAATTTTATTTATTTATATTTTTTTATTTAGTGTGAGTGATTGCCTTGCACTGAAAACTGCATGTGACCACAAGTTTGGCTTCTAAACACATCCAGAGTCACATACATTGGCAGGAAGTTTGTGCTGAGAGTTCAGACAGAAAAATATTGCAAAAACTTGCGGCTAACTAATCTGTATCCCAGTTGGGTCCTGGGACACAACCATCTCTCTGACTTGATCAGTGTGTCAGGAAAGAAGCTTTAGTCTGGATTTCTTTCTTTCTTTCCAGCACAGACCTCCTAACTATGGGTTGAGATTTAAGTGGTGCCTGGAATCACCAGCATTTAGGAAGAAGTAAAACCTCACATTTTCTCTAGCCTGCTCCTGCCCTCCCACTTGCCTTCTGAGCCAGCTCTGTGATTTCTTTTTCATCTTGCCCTTAGATCCCAGATGTTCTGGTCGAGTGCAGTTTCCTGTGGAAGCAGCAGGCAAGGGCTGGGCTGATCATTGTCCTTGCTGCAGCTTGCTGTTTTGTCTCTTGATTTAGAGCATGTGTTGGTCACTTTTGGCTAAAGCAGCCTCCCTCTGCTAAATCAGGTTCCCTCAGCCTGTCCTGACTGCCCAGACCAAGGCCAGGG